AGGAAATAGTCACTGTATGTTCATTAAATATTGAAATTGTCAAGCCGAATGGCTGAGAGCATAGACTTTGAACCTGGAAGGCCTGGGTCAAAGGCTGAAATTCCTCTATGTGCTAATGTGTGGATTTGTTTAAAAAAGGGGGAAGGGCATAAATAGTAACACGCACTCTATGGTACTGTGAGCATGCCTGCCTGCTGCACTGTGTCCAAATGTCAAATGTGAATATTAGATACAGTCTCTTCTTTGGGAATCTAGTACTGCTATTTTTTTTTTTTTGAGAAAAACACATCCCTTTTTACTCCTGTAGAAGATAAAGGGATTCTTGCCCCCATACTCAGGTAGTGCCAGTCTAAAACATTTTATAGATTGAGAGCCAGTCTTTATGCAAACTATGTCAAATTTTTTGGAAGCTATTGTATATTGATGTATATGAGCACTCGTGCTGGTTTTAGTTACCCAATTCTTCCCTAAAAATACTGAGGCTGATGCTAATTTCATTCATTTAGTCTACTGCTATAAGGGGCAGTGACCTACCATGGTACTCAGTCAGACTCCTTGGTCCCTATCTACCAGCCAGCTATCAGTCATTACTGAAAGGATGCAAAATCAGAGTTCACTACTGTAGATTCAGAAAATAATCATATAACTCCAAGAGCAGAGTACCTCAGATTGACCTTCAAGCCCATGGCACATATGGGCTGAAGCATCTGATAATCCAAGATGGTTCAGTTATGCCGTCTATCACTCTTCATTCTCTAAGCATGCTTTGACATGGGACAGGTAGGGCAATTGCTACTAAGAATGTGTCAGTGTGCTGACTGCAGAGACACCTTGTATAGTGTTTATACTATGATATGTGAGGTACCTAACACAGCAAGATAAAGAAGGCCTGATTCGTGAAACAGGGATCATTAATTACATGTTAATTTTACCTAAGGAATTCATTCTTCACAGCCTGCGTATATGGATTTGTTATGGGCAGTCTCAACTGGCATTATATCCTGCCTTTTCCTTAAACACTGTTAGTGGTATGTGTGGAATGTAAGCGAAGTAGTGTATCATTCCATAAAATGTTATAACTGACTTCTTACAATTATACAGCACATTGAAAATATATATTTAATGAGTCTTAATAGATGGATGGAAAATATATTACATGTAAAGGGTTTTTAAAAATAGAACTTCTCAGTCTTGTATTTTCCCTTCATTTGAGGCAGTCCATTTCAACTATAAAGTATATAACAGTCTCTGTTTTAGCCAAAAAACCCACCTTTCTAAGCTATAAAATACACAGAATTGAAAGCTGACACCTAATATATTCTTCATTGGATACAGATGTTCAGTGTAAAGTTTTTTTCAAGTGTTCACAGAGAGCAGGACAAAGGACACTTGTGAGTTCCAAAGCAAATCAAGTGAAATGTGTAACTCTGGGCAAATTTCTGATGTCTCTTTGATGAAAACTATGTTTCTTTTCTGTATTAAAAATTCTTTTCAATTTATTATAATCATCTAGTCATTTGAAAATATGAGAAGGAATCTTTACATTGCTGTGGAGTTTAACTAAATGAGAACACATCAAGCTCCCTTCCAGAGGTAGAATATCTTCTAAGCAATTCATAGAAGAATCATTCAACAAAATCAGTTAAGAACTGGGTGTAAAATTTGTTCATTTTGATACTTCAGCACATCTCAGTAAACTGACAGTTTTAGGCAACTATCTGGTACTTATGTGTCATGCCTGTTTGCAAGATTCTTCTCATTCGCCTAATATTGTGAGCATAGCGTACAATCTGTCCTGCTTGCATTTTGTGTTTCAAGACTCCTATGTTCATTTCTCAGTTGACTGAACTCCATGCAATTCTGAAATAAAAGCAGCCTGCACAGGCTAACCTCTGCGGTCAGCACATAGAGTACTGTTGCTTTGCCACCTGCAGAAGTCATTATCTTAACCAGAGGCTAAAAAGTGAGCTATCCGGCAGGGAAAAAGAGAATGTAAGAATTAACTCCCTTTCCCTCTTATATACCCCCATCCACATTGCACGAAAGTCATTTCAAACAGATGTTTTTAAAATTCAAACAGTGAATACTGTCAGTCTAAACAAGTGGTTTATCTGTGTCTCATTTTGGCTATATTTAAGTGTCTATGGAATTGCATCACCTGCATTTCTCTTAAAATAAAATAGGCTTGTATGTACCCCAATGTTTTGTCAAGGTTTTTCCAGAAGTTTTATTTGTTAATTTACATGCTTGCTGATTGCATTTACCCAGTGCCCATCACAATGCACAATGCTTAACTCTGTAGGAGATTTCATTTTTAAAATGTATGTATTTGTAGACAAGGTCTTGACCTTGAACTAGTCCTTCTTCCCATGCCTTCTGAGTGTTGAGATTATAGCTGTGCAGCATCAAACCTGTTGTTTGTAGTGCTCAGAGTGGGACCCAGGGCTTTGTATATGCCAGGCAAGCGCCATACCAACCAAGCTACATTCCAGTCCGGTAGGAGATTTAAAAAGACACATCTCAAGAGGTTTCTATCATATTGAGGAAAGTAGAGCTTTACACAAAACATATTATTTGTGAAAGAAGAAAATGCTTGATATGCACCTAAAACAAAAACTATTTGTGAGAATGACTATACAGAAGAGAGTAGTGAGCCCTGGTAAGTCACTTCCAGGAGGCAGAGTAAGGGGAGATGGAACTCATCCAGTGAGAGAGCAGGACACTGAAAGCATGCCAGGAAGAGTAGAAAGTCTGTGAGGTGTCCGATCAAGGCTGTATGTGGACCACAGGCAGATGGAATCGTTTGATCACAGATGTGCTTAGAGGCATCAATGGAGGCCATTGGGTTGGGATATATTGGATAGATATTTTTTGCAAGGTAGAAGTGGGATCAAGAACATTAGTAAAGGTGTCTGAGTGAATACTGAATCAGGAAAGATGGTGTATAGCACTGAATAGTGACTGCAGACCTAGGAAATAGCCCCTATTCTTGTGGCCATCATGTCAGTCATCAGACCATGATGGCACGGACAAAAAGAGACAGCTTGAAACAGCAGGATTTGTGACTTTCAAGTCGTGGGAAATTAAGGCAGCCAGAAAGCACTGACAGTGAGGACCCGTGCAAAGGGGAGGGCTTAGGGAAGAGGAGTTGTGACAGCTATGGAAAGGCACACGTGGTGGTTCTGCTTCCATGGTTGGGGTTCATGGAGCTAAAGGGGGTTGAACTCCTTAGGATGTGATAAAGATGTTTTGAAATTATGTTGATGATTGTGCATTTCTGAATATATGCACAGCATTTGAATTATGTACATTAAAATGGCAAATGATAAAAGATACAGAGTAAATCTCCCTAAAGTTATCTCAAAATGAAAATGAAAAGGGAGAAAGAAAATACACTCTGGGGGTCATCTCAGAAAAGGAAATGACTGTCTGGGATCCAGTCAAGCGTGGAGATGATGGGTTGAGGACCATAAGCTTATGAGAGTAGTGGTAGCCCTGTGAAGGTCACCTCCCACCTGTGGGGGAGGGAGGAGCAAAGCTGAGCTCTGGAATTGCCATCTCAAGGCTGCCCGCAGAGGGGATGCTCAAGTGGCTTTTATTCGTTTACCTAGATTTTGATCTTTTGCAACAATATTACCTGAATCTTAATCAAGAATATTGCATTAATACAGATTAGAAATGAGGTTTAATATAGTTTAGATGAGGTTTAGTGGCCTTTTTATTGGAGTTGTCAGTGATAGTTCATGTACTATAGTTCTGTTTAGAAAGAACCAAAGAGTTTTTGTTTGTTTATTTGCTTATTGTTTCGTGTGTGTGTGTGTGTGTGTGTGTGTGTGTGTGTGTGTGTGTGTGTGTGTGTATGTGTTTATGCACATGCCTGTCTGGTGGTTGGTTCACATGGGTGTGTTTGCCTAAGCTCAAGCTTAAGGAGGGGTCAGAGATCCACATCAGACATCTTCCTCAGTTGCCCTCTAACTTATTTTTAGACAGGGTTTCTCACTGAACTGGGAGCTCACAGATTCAGCTAAACTAGTGCTAGCAAACCCCGGAGAACCTCCTGCCTCTGCCTCCTCAATGCCAGGGTTAAAAGCCTGTACCTCAGTTTTTTCTTTACAAGCCATTCCCCTCTCTCTTTCTCTCACACACTCCCTCCCTCCCTTCCTCCCTCCCTCTCCCCTTCCTCCCTTTTTCCTTCCTTTTCATTCATTCTTTCTTTTTTTTTTACATGAGTGCTAGGGCTCTGAACTCAGTTCCCCAAGCTTGCATGTCAAGCACTTTACAGTTGAGCCATCTCCTCAGCCCCTTTTGATTTTCTTTTCTTTTCTTTTTATTGTAGCTGGCCTTCAACTTCAAATGTAGCCAAGGATGATCTGGAGCTTCTGATCCTCCTGCCTCTACCTCCTGAATGCTTATATATGCTTGATTATAGTTGTGCGCCACCACACATGGATGTTCTTACGTGTTGCTGGGGAGTGAATTTCTGCTGTAATGAGTACTGAACAGATACTCTCACAATTGAGCTATTGTTGTAAATAGATATATTGCAGATATGAAATACCAGTCTGCTTTGCAGGCCAAAACGATTTAATGGACTACCAAGGATGATAAATGAACAAATCAGAGAGACCCAATATCTTTACATACTGAGAGGCAACATGCATTTGTTTCTAATACATTTTGTTTTCTGTAAATTTAGAATTCCTCAGAAGGCTGGTTCTTTGAGTTTCATTGACTGGTTTTCATTTTGTCTGGTTGCTAAATGGTGTGAATTTTGTCAAATTAACGTGAAATACAACTTTTGTACTGTTAGAATGAATATAAAATGTTGAGATTCCAAACATAAAATGCTAAATAAACCATTCTTATAGTCAGTCCCCATTTCAGGGAATTCACTAGGAATGAATAGAAGCAGCTCCTAATGAAATTCTGCTCTTTAGTGGGACTCTGCTGCCCATGCTAGGGGAAGAATGTTTTTGTGATACTCTTTTGTGTTATTTCAGGGAAAGAGATAACAGCAGAAACCTTCATGGAGAAGTTGGATAATGGTGCCTTGCTCTGTCAGCTTGCAGCAACTGTGCAGGAGAAATTCAAAGAGAGCATGGATGCCAACAAGCCTGCCAAGGTAAAGTCCCCAGGCACAAGGCGCTGCTAAGAGGCAGGTTCTCCTGTGTGGAGGGTCTCCATGCAGAAGACATTGCAGAGACAAGTATACCTGAAGAGAGTGTCCCTAATGCAGAAGACATTGCTGAGAGATGAGCACTCCTAAGTTAGGGTCCCCATGCAGAAGGCACTGGTGAGAGATGGGTACTCCCATGTCGGGGGTCCCCATGCAGAAGGTACTGCTTAAAGCCAGGTCCCCTGCAGCTTGGGTCTCTGTGCAGAGAGAGCAGGTATTTAGTCTTGCAGTGACTTCGGAATAGGATTCAATGTGAAAATTGGGTGTGAACGAATGCATCAAAGTCTGCAGTAACAACAAAGCACAGAAGCTAGTTTATAATTAGGGAACATGCAATCTCCCTCTTAATTATATAAATTATGTAATCCTTTCAGTAAGTCTAATTAAAGGAAAGCTATGGAAAAGGGATGCTATTTCAAGAGGGCATTGTGTATAAACTGGCTTCATCTGAAATACTGTCAACAAACAGTATAGATATAACTGCATCATCAGGCAATGGAAAATAAATAAGCAGAAAGATTTGCTGAAGAGGTCTTGTTTCCAAAAGCAGTATGTCAGAATACTGCTGTAAGCCATCTGGAATGCAATTTTTGTGTTTTAGTAAGGAGGATCATTGAACTAAGTAACTTTAGGCAAATTATTGTACATTTTTATTTGCTCAATTTTTGGGGGTCTTAGTTCTAATCTTTTTAGCTGTTCAAGAACATTGAGAAAATATCATATTTGTTAATTTTGAATAAACAAGAAGAATAATAATTTTTCTGATTTCTAATGTGTAAGGGAAAGAAGAAAAACAAAGTTAGATAATGTTGAAGACAGCTTACAGGGTGATGAGACACACAATTTATAAATGGTCCCTGCATCTGTGGTGGCGCAGAGGTGCAGTGCGTGTGCGTGTTTATCATCAGGCACTTAGTTTGATGGATTGGACTTTTATACATATGTAAATATATTTCTATTGTTGAGGGTTTTTTAAGTTTTTATTAACAGATGTTGATTATGCATACTAATGAGTTTCACTATGGCATTTTCTTATTTTATATCACTCTAAATTACTGTGTACTAAACCAACCCTGAGTCCCAGTGGCTTTTCTTAATGCAGCTCTGTGATGCTGTCAGTTCACCCAGCACCTTCCAAACACTCTTACTGTGAGTCCCACCTGACTGTTGTTAGATTGTAACCCTGCCTGAATGTGCAGTCTGCTTCCCTGTGGGATGCTTCCTGGGTGCATTCCTCAAAAGCTACCCAGGAGACTTATGCTCTGTGCTGCATGATAACTGATGCTTTTTCTTTTCTCGTTTTCTCTCTCGATTGGAAGGTTGCAGATTCTGAGGGATTTTCACAGCTCCTCTGGCTGGGAAGCATCTGAGCAAGACTGTAACAGACACCTCCTTCCGCGAGTCTAGTTCTAGATGCCCTTGCTTCACCGTGGAAAGTACTTTATATAATGCTTTATATTAGACAGTTGTCCTTATACTGTGAGCTTTACTGTAATGGAACAGACCTCCATTTAGTTTAGCAGCGAGAAAGCATATGTTGAAAGGAGGCCAGTTTGTACAGAAACTTTAAAGCAGTCAGCGAAGAGGAAAATGGCATGTGACTAGGCTTCATTGACAGTCCTATCTCACCATGTACAGGTGTTGCTAACCTGCATTTTTGTTGGGAACAAAAAGACTAGAGCCCAAGGTCAGGATCACACAGAGGAAATCTACTCTGCCAAGAATACTGTGGAGTTCGTTGGTTTTGTTGGTTTTGGAAGATGACTTTTTAATTCAGAAGCAAAGGTGCACAGGGCTGTAATCCTGCAACAGTGAGTGTGAGATGGGCTCAGAGCATGGGTCTGGAGTTCAGGGACTTTGCCTGTGTACTGGGTTAGCGTGAGATAGCTCATGCTATCTGTTAATTGGCTGCGTCTGCGTCTTAGTTCCTATCTGTAATATGGAATTAGCACTAATTACTTATAACCTAGTAATTGACAGCTCTGGATAAATAGCATATACTTTGCTGTGTGAACAATTGCAGCATTTTCAAAAGATAAAAATCAAAATTGTTACTATCACAGTGGCGATTATTATTCACAAGTATGTTTCTGCTTGAAAACTGCTGTTCCATCTAGCAACATCCCTTCCCTACATGAAGGAGAGTTAACAGACCCTTAGTGAATATTTTAGATTAACTCGAAGAAAACAGTGCTTTGTAAATATCCATATTTAGCATAACAGCCCCTGTGAGCACATCTATAGACATGCACCCCAGTCTTCATGGAAATGCACAGACAATGTGGGGAGTGTTGAGGTCAAGAGTTTTGTTACAACTGTTTTCTTTTGAAACCTATTTCTGTAATAAAATTATCAAACAAATGTTGCTAAAGTTTTCCTGCCTGGCCCACGGTCAGGGCAAATCTCTCTCACCTGCCAGTCCCACAGCCACTCAGACCCGACCAAGTAAACACAGAGACTTATATTGGTTACAAGCTGTATGGCCGTGGTAGGCTTCTTGCTAACTGTTCTGACAGCTTAAATTAATCCATTTCTATTAATCTATACCTTGCCACATGGCTTGTGGCTTACCGGTACTTTACATCTTCCTTGTCCTGATGGCGGCTGGCAGTGTCTCCCTCACCCAGCTTCCTGTTCTCTCAATTCTCCTCTCTGTTAGTCCCGCCTATACTTCCTGCCTGGCCACTGACCAATCAGTGATTTATTCATTGACCAATCAGCAACACATTTGACATACAGACCATCCCACAGCAAACAAAAGTAACAAAATAAAAAATTTCTTGCAAATTCATGAGAACTGGAGTCACATTTTATAAAATTTGGATTTTTTCAATCCCAGTCTTTTTCTGTGGTTGTGATAAACTTATTTTAGTGCACAAACACAGCTTTGGTTTTTAAAGAGAAGATTAAAATTTAGTATCGTTTCACATCTGCTGCTTGAGATCCCTAGCTTAATTTGAGTCCATTGGCACAGCAGTTCTTGACTGAATTTTCTTTGTGTCTTTGACAGAATGTATGTATTTTACAGTGACTTCTAAAATCAAAATAGCATGCACCACTTTGCCTGTGAACAAAACAGCATTTTCAAAAGATGAAAATCAAAATGGTTACTGTCACAGTGACCATTATTATTCATAAACATGTTTTTGTCAAACTGTGTTTTTTTAAATGCAGCTTTTCTCCATCGTGAAAACAGAACATAGGAGAGTTGGGGCGCTTGGAAAGTGGAGGCGACAGGATGAGGTATTCACTGTAGCTGGAGTTTTCTCTCCGGGTCCCGCTAAGCCCCGACAGTCCGACAGCCCACTTATAAAATAAACACACAGACGCTTATATTATTTACAAACTGTATGGCCACAGCAGGCTTCTTGTTATCTAGTTCTTCTATCTTAAATTAACACATTTCTATTAATCTATAAGTTGCCACGTAGCTCGTGGCTTACTGGTACCTTACATCTAGCTTGTCATGGCAGCGGCTGACAGCATCTCTCTGCCTCAGCCTTCCTGTTCCCAGAATTCTCTTCTCTGCTTGTCCTGCCTATACTTCCTGCCTGGCTACTGGCCAATCAGTGTTTTTTTTTTTTTTTTGGTTTTTCGAGACAGGGTTTCTCTGTGTAGCTTTGCGCCCTTCCTGGAGCTCGCTTTGGAGACCAGGCTGGCCTCGAACTCACAGAGATCCGCCTGGCTCTGCCTCCCGAGTGCTGGGATTAAAGGCGTGCGCCACCACCGCCCGGCACCAATCAGTGTTTTATTTATCAACCAATCAGAGCAACAAATTTAACATACAGAACATCCCTCAGCAGTTCACAGTCCTCCTCATTGTATGTAGAGTTCAAGGCCAGCCTGGGCTGCATGAAACTGTATCTCAGAGGGGGGCAGAGAGGGAAGAAGGGGGAGAGAGATAGAGATTGCTTAGATTATACAACATTGTGTTACTCTTCAGTATAAGTCTATATTAAATGATAATGAACTAAAACCTAGGGGTTAGGACTACATTGACTATTTTCCAGAGGGAAAAAGACCCTCTCAGTTGTGGATATGTAACAATTGTGCTACAGCATTATGTCTATTCTGTGTTTGTGTGTATGTCTCTGTGCATGTCTTGTGTGCATGTGTATGTTTGTATATATGTGTGTATATGAGTCTCTGTGTGTGTGTGCATGCGCGTGAGTCTGGGTGTGTAAGTGTGTGTGTGTATGTGTCCTGTGCACATGCATTTGTGTGCATATGTGTATATGGGTGTGTGTCTTTGTATGAGTGTGTGCATGTATGTGAGTGTCAGTGTTTGCGTGTATCTGTGTGTTTCTGTCTGCATGTATGTGTGTCTGTATATGTATGTGTTTGTGTGTGTGTGTTTGTGTCTGTATATATGCGTGTTATATGTGCCTATGTATTCTGTATATATGTGTGTTTGTGTATGTTTGTGTGTGTGTTTGTATGTGAACTGTGTATATGTGTGTGTTTCATATCTGTGTATGTTTGTGTGTTTGTATGTATGTGAGTGCATGTATGTATACGTCAGCATATGAGTGTGCCTGCATGATTATGTGTTAGTGTATGTATAATGTGTATGTCAGTGTGTGTGTCTGTGTATATATGTGTACATGTATGTATAATGGATATGTCAGTGTATGCATGTATGTATCTGTGTGTGTGTGTGTGTGTGTGTGTGTGTGTGTGTGTGTGTGTGTGATGACTATCCTACATTTCATACTGAATTAGGAACAATGACAATGTCAGTAGATGAGCTTGTCAGCTTTTCCTCTGAATTAATTAATGACATCATATCCAGGAAGCCCTGAGTGATTTCTTCTAGTGGTTTTAATTTCATCTTCTCATTTCCAAGCATTTTTTTTTTTTTACTTCTCTTTATTGATGGTTCATTTGGGAGTTTTACAGCTGGGTAAACATGTTTGAACAAGTGTGTGAAATCTGCTACATTCGCG